ATATATATATATATATATACATAGATGATTGTAGGGGCTCATCGATCTAGTTAAGGGACAAGAATGTGCCTTTGTGCCCTGGAGCTCACAATAGAGCCCGCGAAGACAACCGCACTGCGACTTGTAGAATATGTTGAAGTGGAACCGACAATGACAAGGGCAACCGGAATGACAATTTCAGGCTTATTAGCCGTCATTAGCCAGTCATACCCCATGCCGGATGTGGATCACCCGGGATTCGAACCCGAAATCATTGGTCATTGAGTTCGGCATTCTACCATTACACCACGGGCTCGTTGCTTTTGCCGGTGGCAATCGGGAATATAGTTGAAGAAGGGAGCTCGTTCTTCTAGTTAAGGAACAAGAATGTCCACACCTGGAACTGGGCGTGAGTGGCTAATGACAGCTTATAAGCCAGAATTGTCTAGTCCAGTCTCCCTTGTCTTTGTCCGTTCTACTTCATATAGGTATGAATAATAATATTGATTAAAAATTGTTTTTGGTCACTCATCTTCAGGCTGGTACAATGATACGGAGACTAAAATGGTCAGTTATGTGCAGTGCTGATATGGTTCTAGGGGTAAGGGGTGATTGTAATTATTCAGCTCGGTGTTTGATCGTCTCATGCATGCTGGCGTCAGCGTGTTGAAGGCGTTGGGTGCGGCACGCAGGGAAAAGGGGGGAGATGCTCTTTTGGTCGGCACTCTGGAGTATGCACGTCAGGCGCGCGGCGTGTGTGTTGACTACCTTCTGTGGCTTCGTGTGGCGTGGTTCCAGGTTGCGCGGATTCGGGCGGTGTGGCTTCGGACGGCGTGGGGCTTCTGCGTGTGCTGTAAACACTAGTGATCATTCGCTTATTTGTACGGATTTAGCACATTCCCTGTGTTATTTTTTCATGCCAATTTTTTCACGTTTTTATATAATTGTGTCGCTTTTAAACAACTAGGGAATTCAAGGTTTTACACCTAAGTTTCCTGCAAATAAACAGAAAGAAAGGAATAGAACTGAAGTCATGGTCCATGCCAGATGAAACTGGAGTACATCCGAGCTTCTCCATCGTTATTTGACTATTTTTAATTTATTTGAGTGACTCCATGAGTAGATAGATAATGTCGCATTTTGGCACCCCGGAGGGCACGGTTTTCACTGCGAAGAAATTGTCACAGGCGATCAAATTTGATAATTATGAACTACCTTTATAAGAATCACGTTTTTGTCCCCAGTGAAGATCTGCCAATGCATTTGAGTAGTCCAAACACTAAGGAGTATACTTTTCGTTAGTAAACAAAAGTTCATAGGGATAAATCAAAATGCAGTCGGAAAATAGGGCAGTGCATTTATCTATTGACAACTTGAATACATACGGTACCTCTGACCGAATCAAAGACTATAAGCTACTGGAAAGTGTTCAAAGGAGAACTATGAAATTTGCAAGGTGCCGAAAATGCTTAGCGTGTTTCCCTTGAGTGCCGGCAGATCCGTGGAGATCATGTACTAGCTGCCGGATTTTAAGAAATCCGGACTGTGCTCTGCATCTTGCTTATTTGTTCTCAATGACCACAACAGCAAACTTCGTGGGGCTCTTTAACTTTGAAGAGCCTTATCCCACCTGGGCACTAGCCCCCAAGCATTTCCGTAGTGACATTTCCGTCACTGAAACGGACCTCCCGAATAAGCTATAATGATGGACAAAATAGGGAGTGTTTGTTTACATGAAAAATGCAATGGAACCGAGCAGGAAGTGCTTGTAAGACTTAAGCAACGCTTCGCTCATACCTAACACTTATTTGAATATATTTTATTTGGCATAACCCCGAAAAATGAGGAGTTCCAGGTTTCAGTTCCAACAGAAAAAGTTATATTTTACAACTTATTTGTGCTACTTAGAACATTAAATTAGTGTGGTTGTTTTGGTATGTAATATCCATTATCCTAAGATATATTAAACTATAAATGTTAAACTTTAGTTTGAAGCATGATTTTCCCGGGAGAGAACTTGAAGATGGTTATAACTGTAAGATTTAATGGCACCATAAATTTCGGGAGAGCTCCTCAGTTACAACCCCTCATTGCC